CCCCCCCCCAAGGTTCCCAAGCTGTTTCTGAAACATCATCAATGGGCGTTCAACTATTCCAGAGTTTGTGGTAGATTTAAGTTTAGCCCCTGCGTTCTTGCTCTTGCCATAGTTTAGAATGGCATTTGAAACTTTTAAAGCGCTCTGCCTTGCTGTTACATGAATGATGTTTGCAGGCAATGCTGTGCAGTGCGCTTCTCGGTTATCTATAGCTATATTGTCCGAGTTGCGAATTATCCGCACCATGGATGGGAGCCAGCTTGGGTCTAGTAGAGTTTGTTGACTCAAGCAACATGTATGAGGTCAAGAGCAGCACTCTGCAAATATATATGCCATTTGGATCTGCTTATGCACCAGATGTAATAAGATGTCGGGGCACCAAACTAGCTGTTGGGGAGGAGCTAGGCTGGATCTGTAATGGCTATATCTGAGTGTGTCCCCTGCGGAAGCTCTGGCACGTGTCTGCACTTACACTGTGGCCTTTTGGACCTGCCGGGAACAGCTTATCAGCATGAGTGCTGAGCCTTGCAGTGCTCTGGCGTTTGCTTTGCATTGGCAATGAGCCCTCTTGACTGAGAGAGGAATTCAAATGCTCGGCGGTATTTCTGCAGCTCTGCTAGGCAAGCACTGAGCCGGCATTAAGCATTGATTTCTAGTGGAAGCTCTGCGATGTTTTTGCACAATATTTCCCAAGACATGGGTTATCCAGCTGTTTGTCTTAGCCTTTTAAGGAATGGCAAGGTGGCTCTTACAAATAGAGAACACTGATACTGCTTATCCATAAAATACTGGTTGCGTAAAGGGGTTTAACTGAGATTTTCTTTGCTGTTTTGCTATAGTGACTGTCACTCACTGGAAGAGGAGGTCAGTACATTTTTGGGATTAAGTTTATTTCTTTCTTTAGTGAGGCATTTGGAGCCCTCTGAAGTTCGGTGCTTTTGAGCTGTAGTAGTTGCTTCTAAATTTTGCTTGTTTACAAATCTGTTAAATCATACAAATAAGCTGGCAGAACGCACAAGAGGCATTCTCTTCTGGAGAGCTTTTTGACAAGTGTATTGCTTTATGTAGGCAATATATAAGGTAACACATCAGAATCTTAATGAAGTTCAAACGATGTGGTCAAAACATTCTCTTTTTAAGCAACAAAATACAAAAATGACTTCAACGTCAAGACTGTCATTACCAAAGAGACGTGGGATTTGGAAAACTCAATGAACACTGGTTTTGGCCACATAAAATGTGCTAGTTATTTTTAATCACCAATGTTAACATGGTGCAGGTGATGGCAACATCTGTTTCCTGACCTGCTGTTACTTAAAACGTTAGATTATTGAGGCAGGTAAGGATAGAGTTGTGTTTTGTTCTTAGTTCCCGTGATTTGTTGCTGAGTGGGTTTAAAAAAAGCAACAAAACAAAAAAAAACCCTTCGTTTTTGGCAGGAACTTGCTGTTGTTCACAAAGTTTTCATGCGTGTTATCGTAGCCTTCCCGTTTGTTTGCATGCCCTCAAAGAAAGAGCTCGCTGTTCCGTACTCGTGCACGTGAGCATCTTTGATTTTGTGCTTTCACAAGCAAAAACCTGCTCGTTCTTGTGCCAAGACAAAGGGAAAGACTGAAGTTTGCATGTTTTACGGGAAACTCTTCATGCTTCAAAGAGGCTTTCTACTGACCGCTGCAGGAGGCCGAAGTGAGGCTGTGGCTCAGCAGAGCTGCGGCAGGCTGTCCGCTGCCGACTTTGAACCATTTCAGTTCTTTGGATTCTCCCTTTTCCCTGCCTGCCTTTTTCTCAGAATTGAAGCAAAAAGCAGGCAGGATTCGTTAAGCTGAACAGTGCACAGAGGAAACGATAAGGAAAAGGAGTCAACAGCACGAACTAAGGGCCTGCTCCTAAACTCTCCCCTCCAGTGTGGGTTGGTAGTGCCTCCAAATATTTGAGGCTGGTGAATTTGGAGATGAAGGGCTGTGGGGGGACATGCTTATGGTGGGTGTGCATAACTGTAACCCACAGTAATTGGTTCCTCTCTGCGCTGGTAGTTGGAGAAGCATTTTGAGCTGCTCTGAATGTTCTGTGTTCCTCCTTGCTGCTTTCTTGCATACAGATACTTGTGGAAAATCGTAAATTGTGAGGTCATCGTTTCTTTTTCTCCTCTTCTTCCTGAAAGTGAAAGTAAAAATTAAATCCTTGTATATAGCTGAAGCTCCTTTTTTTTTTTTTTTTTTAATGTTGGGAAGACTCTGACAATTTTTTAAGCGTAAGCATGTCGCCAGTGCAGCGTGTATCTTTGGACCCAACTCTTTGGATAAATCAGCTGTAGTAACTTAAAACCCTGCCGAGTGTAGAATTTTAAATGTGTAATTGTGACCTTTTAATACAAAAAAACCACAAGACTTCTGTTTTGCTGGGATCCTCTGGGCACTTTTACTTGGTATGGTAGGCTGCAGACATGGGGATAGGAGTGCTGCGGCATGCAAGGGGCAGGTAGGAGTCAAATAAGTGTCATGGTCCCTGTGGAGACCAGCCAAGTCTAGTAAGTGTGCAAACAAGACAAATTCTGGGGAATTAGGGAGCTCTTAACTGCCATCGGATCAATTTGGATTCTGTGCCGAGAAGGCTCTCCCCATGTCTTCAACTGCGTTATGATTTTCTCTTTACATATGTTTTTGAGGGGTGGTGTTTGAATCTCGTACAATCTACTTGTAGCCCAAATAACCAGGCTGTATATGTGTAGACCATAGTGAAGTTAATTTGTTCACTTGATTTCCACATGAAATGCAAAAATAGAGTTGACTAGGCTTCTTGGAATTTGAGAAGTAAAAGGGTGAGATATCTCCATGCGTCTCATTTGTACTTCTGCAAAAATACAGGTAGCTGGAAGTAAGACTTAAATAGCCTACACAGAAGAGGAGGAGAGCAGTGGGTCATCCAGAGAGAGTAGTTTGGCAAAGGAAAGGCTTTGGAATAAACTTTTCTTCCTATGAGCTGTGCAACTGAATCAGCTTATTTTCTTTTTTTCATATAACACATTCAACAAATGTAAAGAAACTTTATTTGAACAGGAGTGCATAGCTATAGCATAATCATATCCCTAGGGGAAGTATCCAACAGGTACAGAAGCAAAAACTAACGCTTTGTTCAACAGCGCTAAAGTTTTGGGGGGCTTTGTGCAACAGATGAATTTTTTTTTTTTTTTTTAATCACTAGCCAGTGCAGGTTGCTGTGCCAGATGCTGGATTTGAGGGTTCATCTTTCTGTATTGCTTTGGTGCTCTTATTGCCGATTTCTGCAGGCAGAACGCCATCTAGTAGGACAGCACCCGTAGACAGGAAGGCAGAGAACAGGTGAGTGGGAGAGGGAAAGCTGATGAGGGCTGCAAAAGAGGAGACAGAGCAGGAATCAGAAGACAGCCATGCAAACTAAAGTGTTGAGGCAGGGTTTCGATAGCTGTTTCCAAGTGCACTATATGTGCTACTGAGGGAGCCTCTGTAGCTGGCAGCGGACAAGTATGAGCGTTTAGGTATTGGGTAGTGGTGGTGCTTATGCAGGCTCTGAACTTCTCGGGCTTGTTTTCATCGTTGGCTCGGCACCCTGATTCTGGCTGCCTTTGTGTTTTGCAGGCTGCTGATGTTTGTGCTCGGTTATGGTCCGTGTACCCTCCTCTGCAGCTGCGCAGCCAGTTCTTTTCACTGTTATGTGCAGCATGAAGAAATCATTATGCAGGAAGAGGATGGAGCATCCCAAACACTTTAGAAATCCTTGTTTAAAACCGTCCTGTCATTGTGCAGTCTGCTTAAGTGTGGAGTTTTGGCCCGATGCGTTTGAAGTGCCTTATGTAGACAAGCTCCTTGGGGGTTTGGATACGGTCACCTTTTGAAGTGCCAGTGATCTGTGTGTAAGACGCCCTGATGCTTTAGACTTGCCGGAGCTGAACCCTTTAATCATAGTAGGATATGTTTGCCTTGTCTGTAGGGCAGATGAGCATTTTTAGCAATGAATCACTGTGCAGAAAATTGTGTGGCTTAAAGAGAAATTTCAAGGTAACTCTTCCATGCTCCTTAATTTTCTTTTTAAGAGAGAAATCTGATTTGCAGGGTAGTTTAAATTAGAAGATCTGCCAATTTGGACTTCAGCAACGGCTTTATGCTTGCATAAATAACAGTATTTTTTTTTCTCTCTACAGAGGTTGCAGAACTTGAAGCTAATTTACCTTGTAAGTATAGTATTTAATGGCATGCATTTTAAGGAGAAAAGGACTGCTGAATTTGATTGTTTTGGCTGAAGTGTGAATGCTAATGACATTCCTTTCCTTAGGGAAAGCCGTGCAAAACTCTGCCAGCCCACTGAAGGCTTAAACAGGTTTTCTTTGCTTGCCCCCTTTTCAGGACACAGCGGAGGGGAGGGACCCTCATCAGTGTCCTTGGGAAGCAGTAACGATCACTTGGTTACCTTTATGGAACTGGTGGCGTGAGGGAGGTTCCTTCTCTTAAAGTGCCTCAAAGTTACCAGGAACTAAAGACTGCATTTGTTACCTCGCTCCTGTTTTTCCTCTACTCTCTCTTCATTTTCAAAACAGGAGATGCTGATCTAGGGGCAGAGTGAATAGCTGAGTTCTCAGGCAACATATTAAACCAACCTAGTGCTCTTTCATTTCACACACAAGTGGTAACCTGACACGCTTGTTAATAGTGGGATTAGTCATTAATAGTAATAAGTCATTAAAAATAGTACAAACATAATCTGTATTTGTAAAAAAGTAAGATAGTGATTTTTAGCCCTGGCATCTTACCTGTAATGTGTCTTATGCTACAAGCAGACACTACTAACATGTACTTTAAAATAGATTTTTTTAAAGTGTGGTAATTCACTCATTGCTTCCAAAGCTGAGGATAAATAGTTAAAAATCAAGTTTTTTATATATATATGTGTGTGTGTGTGTATATATATAAATTTGATATATATAAAAATTAATATGGATATGGATATATATATAAAATTTATTTTGATCTTTAGCTTGAGAGAGAAGCTACTTCTGTAATGGGCAGCAAAACAAAAAGTCTTTTATAAAAGAGAATGAAGTTCCTAAGGCTGTGTAGTTGTTGCTAAGAGGAGCTGTTGACAGTAAAGCTAGCTGTTGCTGAGCTCTCCTTCCCTTCAAGCGTAGACCAGGACAGCATCATTTCGTGTCTGTGCGATTTTTGCAATCCGTACTTGTAATATGGGCAAGCAAAACAAGTTATTGCATAGCAAGCTTAGAGGCATTTTTAGAGCCCATCACTTGCTCTGCATAACTTCCTGTGGTGCATGTTCTTATTTCAGAGTTTTCTAAAAAAAAAAAAAGAGGCATGAGCAGCAGTCCAAGAGTGTACGTGCAGACTAGTACTGTGCTTGCGTGCATTCATGCTGTCTTGCCTGTATGCTCATCCGTCGAAAGAAAGCAGAGAGGATTCTCCCTGGTTACACCGGCAGGTAACTCATGATGTTTCTAGTCTTCCCTGTCTGAGGGAAGCTTTGACCATAATATATTTTTCAGGTCAGACCTCTGAGCGCTGCTTCTGTTGGGTCTCTCTCTTTTTGCTAATGCTTCTAAATCCAGATCAACTCTCGGATCTCAGAAAAAATCAAGCCTTTCAGTACAAAAGGCCTGATGGGAAGAATCAGGATCACAAAAAGTACTGAACAGAAGCTTCAAAAAGGGAGGGCATGAAGAAGCATTACTCAGCTCTTCCTGTATCTGTCCTCTTCTTTCTTAAAGACAATTCTACAGAAAGTTTACGCTGAATAATTTTAGGTTTTGTTAAGCTTTATGGCATAGACTTTTCAATAGGATAATGAGCGCTAGAGAAATACACATCAGAGTTTATAGTTATTAGAATGCGAATGCATTACAAGGGTTTGTGGACAGCTCCAGTTACATAGTATTTTTTCATGCAGATAAGGTCTCACACCTCTAGTGGTATTTAACTTCTTGTTTCCGAAGTTAAAGGCTGCCTAATATGGATAATCACGTATCAATGGATGTACGCATCTAGTGCCAGCTTGACGACTTGACTCTGCTATGATCAAGAAAGGCTGGTTTTGTACGTGAGAAGGGTTTGTGTTATCAGTTGCAAACAAAGGGCTGTCTGTTATGCTGTAAACTTGCTTCTGCTGGATGGAAACCATTGACTAGTATCATAACACCCCGCACACAGCCTCTGAGGTTGATGTTGTCTCTTCATTCTTGCTCTTCTTTCTGATTGTTCTCCTTAAATTCATACAGACTGAGAATGCAAACAGGGGTTTGTAAGGATGCTCCACCATCTCAGCTAATGTGTGTAATCGCTTACATAGAGCACAAATAAAACACACTTTTTAAAAAAAAAAAAAAAAAAAAAAAAGCTTACCTTGTAGTTTTTTGTCTTGCATTTGGAAGGTACCAAAGGAAAATAGTTAACTGTTGGAAGCCCTGTAGTAGAAAAGGGTAAGTGCTTAGTATGTTCAGAGATAATGGAGTTGAAGCTCCTTGGTATCGCATAGGTTAGAAAGGCATGCACAGCTACTACACGTATCATCAGGCAAGCTTGAATACTGTATATGCCTGTAGTATGCCAGTTTGCTTTCTAGTCATAGGCTTATGCAAGACTGCAAACAGTGTAGTAGCTGCAGTTGCTCTGAAATCGCACTGTCAACAGCTGTTTCTGGAGCAGTCAGTTCATCAAATTCAAGTCATTCCTGGCTGATTGTGATGCCTTGGTAGGGAGAAATGTTGTCTGATGAATTAGAGTCTGCAGTATGCCAAAGCAGAGTGTTAGCTTGCTTCCCCCCCCGCCCCAAGCCCTTTTTTAACAGGACATTTCTTTAACAAAACTCACTCTAAAAAACAGTAAAACTATGTAGCTGTGAAACACGGACCTCTCCTTTTTATTCTAGTACAAAAGCAAAAAAAAAAAAAACTAAATTTTTCTTATTTTCTAAGAATTTTTTGAAGGGATAGGGTAAGGATCTGGTAGCCTAATGTGATTGTGAAACTCATTTTTGGATGTAATGAATTAGGCCAACTACGGCACTGAGTTAGCTTGGTATGTTGAACAAATTTGTTTAACAGCTGAACGGGGACTTCACTGACTTCTGGATGAGCTTTCCAGTAAAGCTTATATCTCATTATACCTTACAGGTGCAAATAGTCCTATCTTAGCATGGGTTGGTGGGGCGTGACTTCTCACAAGCTGCAGTGTGTTATCAACTGTTGAGATATCCGTGTTACCATTTAAGAGCTTTTAAGGAGACCATGCTGGTTCTGTGTGCTGTTGTGGTAACATGTAGCTGACACCTCTGCAGAAGACCAATCCCTTTGGCATTTTTTTAGGTCTTTGAGACAACATGGCATACTGAAAGGAAATGCCCTTATTCATTCTCACAGCTCAAGGGGTGAAGTGCCGTTACCGCAGGTGACTTGGCGTAAAGAGCCGTGACCTGTAACTGAGTAGGGAAGAGACACTTAAGAGAGAAAGGGTAGGAAATCAATTCACTGGAGTGTAAGGGTTAATCGGGGAGTAAGTCTGGAGTGTATGAAGCATGGTATGTGTGGTTCCCTAACAGTGGAAATACAGTTGTTTGATATAAACTTATTTTCTTCACAGGTACATGTAAAGTGAATTTTCCTGACCCAAACAAGCTTCATTACTTTCAGCTAACTGTAATCCCAGGTAACTTTCTAAACATGTTGTTTTTGTTTCTGTGAGTGTTTGTGTTTAGCCAACCTAAGTCCAAGATTTTACTCAAAAATCCAATGAACTTTCTTGTTAGTTAGTTAGTTCTTTGACAGTAGGCAAAGAAAAAAGACATGCGTGCGTGTAATGCGATGACTGTTGCAGCAGTGGAGAAATTGGGTTGGCTTTTGAGAACCAGGTTCCACTGAAAACAGCGGTTAAAATTAAGCAGATTGAGGAAGCGTTCAGGTCTTGTTTGCTCGTTTTGGTTAAAAACAGTTTTTTCTCTCAGCCAGTTTTGAACCGCGTGGTTTTATTTGCTGAGAAAAATCTTGGACCACGTCTAGAGAAATTATTGTACTACAGCCCTGTTATGTTGCAGATTAATTTTTTTCCACTGACGGGTTGATTCTGTAGAGTTGAAAAGAAAGATGGCAGGTACAACATTGCTATAAAACTTCAAATATATGTATGTCTGAAGGTGTTTAACATGTGGGAGTCTCTTAGTCCTTGAAGTATGTGGAAATTGGGCCTTTTACTACTAATGCCACGTAAGTATACCGTGGAGCTTCTGCTGGCAGGCTATTAAATAAAAATGAAGGCTCAGTACTGCTTTTCTCAAAGGCATTATTTCGAAGGTGAGTTTCTTAATAGCTGTCTGAAGTTATGGTGCTTGTTGCTCATGTAATTAAGGCTGTCTGTTTTAGAATGAAAAGTTGTGTTTTGTGGATGAAGTTGTGTGGAAGATTAACTACTTAAACTTCAGAAACGCCTCCTGTTACTGCTCTGTGCAGCTTTTCAAATGAGAACGTTTGCCTATGCAGTACTTTGTAAAATGTTCAGGTGAGTGTTAGCATGTGAGGATCAGTCTTTCCCTGCCAACTGATTTCTGTAGGCCTACGTTTTCTGTAGGTTGACAACAGAGTTGAGCTGCAGTATGTCGATCGTGGTGTTTTACCTGTACAAGTAATGGTTTGCGCTTGCGGCGCGAGAGGCATGTTTCTGATAATCTGGTACCTTGATACCAAATGAGCACTAGATGTCACTGTTGTTACTTTTTAGCCAAGAGCAGCTAGCACTTGGCAATAGAAATCTTGCGTGGTCTTTGTGGAGACGCCTGCTCGTGCAACTTTTCTGTGATGGAAAAATGAGTAAGACTGCCTTATTCAGTATAAGCCAAATAATAACTGAAAGGGCGAATATGGAGCTTCTAACACGTTATTCTGTGTAGAAGATCTACCCCCATCCATGTACATAGTAAGCGCTAGTCTGTTCGTCTTCACCAGTTATTTCCTCTTCAGTGTATATGATGCTACTTTACTGTAGTTTGGAAATGAGTCGACTTTGCAAGGTCATCCTGATGCAAGTCAGGAATGTCTCGAATGTGAAGCCATGATAGCTTCTTTGTACTAATTTCAAGGTGTCTTAATACCTAATCAGTTTTTTTGTCTCTTAACTGCTGCTCAGCAAGGTGCTGTAGCCAGAAGACAGGCCTTGCAGTGCATGGTTTTTGTGCTAGCTTCATTGCTGAAATGGTCTTGGGAATGAGATGATCTTAATTAACATTTTGTTACTCTAAATATAGCTGCACAGCTGAAGTCTCTGCAGTTGCAGTCTGACCGAAGTAAACATCTATTTTCAGCTGTGCGTAATTCAGGTACAGAATCTTGTGATCGGCTGCAGCTTAGCACGACTCTCTGAAGGCAGACTATAATATGTAACAAGAAAATCTTTGTAGCTTTTTGATTAGTTTTGTTATTGAACAAGTTTCACTCTAGAGTATGCTAAATCTTGCTTTTCTCTGGGGCAGCAGAGGCAGCTAGGTGGTTCTCAAAATTTTTCTGCCTCAGATGGGTAAAAATCATTGCTTGAGGCAACTGTTCTTGCAGTGTCTAAACAATGTTACATGCATTTCGACATTTTGGAGGAAGAGCCAGTTTTTTCTTCTGCCTGGAATTGTCTCCAACATTGAGTTGCTTCTAGAAATTCTGTTCATATATCTGGCTCTTAAGAGAGTGCTTTCCAAATAGCTCTGCCGCTCTCCAATTGCAGAGCAAGAGTTGGGCTTAGCCCAGCTACTGGTGCCAGGGAATATCAAATGCCGCCTTGTAGTCCTCACGGTGGGGGCCTATGTAGTAAGCGTGTGTAGGCTGGGTTCGATAGTCTGCAGAGTGAGGAGCTTCCTGTAGGCCCACTTCTTAGGGATCAGAGTCTGGTTATCTGCAGTTACAGAGATTGCCTCCTCCTGTGGCGAAGCTGGTAACTGTGCGATAATTGCGGTGCTATCTTTATATAACATTTTATGTTTAAGTTGTTTCCTATCCTGATTAACTCTAGAGTTTGCATTCTGTAAATACATTTTATGAGGAGTGTTACACCAGGACAGTTTCTCAAAGCCTGTCTGGGTACTGCACAGGTACCAGCTGAACCTGCTCTGTAACACAAGAAGTGCCACTTGTGGTCAGTGTCCATACCTAATTTTATAGACAAAGTCTGTTTTATGTTTTATGCAATCAGGTTGAATGTGGCTGCTCTCAGAAGGACAGTGAAAGCAGCTTCTTTTCCAGTTCTCACAACTTAAATGAGAAAATAAACTTTACCGTCAATGTCAGGCAGAAATACTTTCAGGGCTGTGTAGAATAAAGCTTCAGCTCCTGTGTTCTCCGCTTCTCACCGTAACCTTTCTGCATTTAATATCACAAAATGGCTCTGATGAGAGTGAATGTCAAATGACAATGAATTTGTAGAAAATCTTGACAAGGGTGACTGCTTAGTTTGCATACTAAATTTTACTTAAACTTGTGCTCTGAGAAATTCAGATTCCTTTATTTGATAGCGTTTTTTGCAGTGCACCATGAGTGGATGTATAATAGCACCACACTAGAAAACAGGAAAACTTAGTTTGTCCACTGTGGCAATAAAATCTACGTGTTCCTGGGGCAGGTGCTGCTGACTTTCCCTGCTGCCTGGAGCGTCTTCCTCTCTTTGTAGTCTGAACCAGTTGTTCTGTCCTGTAAAAAGGTCCTTACGGCACCAGTTGCCTTAGTTCTTATTTTGTAACCAGCAGCATATTAGATCAAAAGCTAGGAAAAATGAGATGCCTGGAAGACAGGCGGAGTCTGCCTGCTGCACTGATATTTGGAGTACAAAATTGGATGCTGAGAGTATGACATAGTAGTCACTGGTGGAGGGGGAAGTGTGTGAAGTCAGGTAGCTAGCACCTAAAGAAAACTAGAGGAACGTATAGAGTTAATGTGGTTTTCTTATAGTTTGCAAACAGTTGGGGTAATCTGGGGTTGCGTGATTAGTTTTGCATCTCATTCTTCAGGGAGTTAATAGAGGCTTTTTCCTGTTTTGCATGCCATGAAACGACAAATGGCGGTGAGCATGGCTGAGCATTTCAACGCTGCTTATTCTAGGAGCCGCTATCAAAAGCGCATCCTTTGTGGCCTGTCCTAATTATCTTGCGTTTTCATTTAAAGGGATAAATCAGAAGTAATAGAAGCTAGTAGTTTCAGCGCGCTCTTAACCATCGAAGCACCTTACAAACACAAACTGAGTTAAATAATGAATCGTTAAGGATGTTGTTAATAGTAATACATGAAACTTGAGCCAAAGAGGGGAAAGATACTTACCCTGCTAATATAGCTTAAAGACAAATTTAAGCAGTAGGAAAGCTGGAGCAGTGGCACTCACTTATTCCCTTTCTGCACGAGTCCCTTGTCAGTGACCAACTTCACAGGTTATGCGCTAAAACTGTTTCAATTGACTGCTTTATTTACAGCCCTTTGTTCGCTACGAACTTTGCCAGAACTTCATTTTTTGTCAGTTACTTTCATGTGAGTAACAAAGAGAGCGTCTCCGTCCCAGTCTGGCTGTTGTGGGGCAAAGGGGAAGAAAACCACGTGGGAGAACTTTGAGATGCTGTAAGATGGCTTCATCGTGAAGGCTTACCGTCTTGTTGATGCATTTCATGAGTTCTGGCTGGGTACTGGGGCTCTCCGGGGATATGAATTCTTAATACAAATTTGAGCAACTGGTAATGACTTGCATGCTTTATTGTTGCTTAAGAGGAAAAATTTGCAAGCATGCAGAGAGTAAAAATGGGGGGAGGAGGAAGAGGAGAGGGAAGGGAGGCTTTACTCTTCTGTTTGGTAAATGCGTTCTAACTTATTTTGTAGTACAAAAAGTAGGCTACCCAATGTATTTTTTTTGTTAGTGTTAGCATTGATTGATGCCGAGGTGAACCAGAAACATAAAGTGAGGAGTTAGAAATTGTAATGCAAGGCAATGATGAGTATTGATTTGTCTTTGAGGGGGTGAATTGATCGTGTAGTGCTTGAAAAATACCTGCAGGTGCAGTACGGAGCCTAAAGCGCTCTAAGGCTTCCAGTGATTTTTCAGCGAAAATACCTGCAGGTGCAATACGGAGCCTAAAGCGCTCTAAGGCTCTAAGGCTTCCAGTGATTTTTCAGCCTTATATAGGGCATAATAAAATGAATAAAAGAAGATTAAAAATAAAGCAATGCATGCGGTTATAAGATGCCTGGGCACGTTTAAGGTAGGTTTTTGCTGACCGAAGGAGTATTCTTTCACTGCCTGGTCCTGCCTCTTCCATTTCTCTGACTCTGGGGATCACGTAACCCCTTTGTAGCCAGTTCATCCCAGTACTCCCGCAGGAAACGGTGCACCCTTGCCATGGTAGTTTTGTGCAGAGGAAGAGGGCCGAGCTGGTCCTGTCCCCTTCAACTGAACTTGCCTGGTCCGATCTCATCCTGTTTGTGGGCACTTGTGTTCCCACCCGAGCTGGGTAAAAGTGGGGCGGCCGTGAGCTCGCCCTGCTCCTGGCCATGCACGCAGAGCTAGCGAAGTTGTTCGGCTGGTTTTATTTCTGTGCATCTCTTGAAAAACGTTGCGATGATCTTGCTGCCCGTGCTTGCCTACTGTAATGGTCCTGTGTGTCGCAGAGGTGCTTGTTGTGTCTTGGAGCACAAGGAGGTGTGGAGCATGGTTTTTCTCTCACTCTTTGGCTGGCAGGAAGCTGAAGTCTTTGGCAAACTCTCCTCCCTTAGAGTTTCTTTTGGACAATTATATTACAATTAAGATTCATTTAAATCTTGAGGTTTTTTTTTTTTTTGACATAAGGCACATGTAGATGCATACATCCATAGGCATCTCTTTCACATTGGTGGGGAGAACTGCAGTGGGATATGAAGGTCTGCTGTGTGCTTCACTCCAAGCCCACAACAGCAAAGGACTGTTGCAATTAAGCCAATGAAAATAACTTTCCATTACTGAACTTACTGAGCAACCATAACAGTACTGTGGTTTCTCCGTCACCCTGTGGTACAGATAGCAGTCTTCTCTCTACGCAAATACAAGCGGGTGTTTTGTGTGATTGATTACACTGGGAAGCAGAGCTTGACAAATGCTTGCAGGGCACCAAAGAGCCTTATGGAAGGCTTGAGGTACACTGCCTGTACCGTACGAAACACCGAAGTCCTTTCTGGTGTTCCTTATGTGTTAAATTGTGCCCCCTGAAACAATTAGCTGTGCCCTGTAGGGTGACTTGGTGGTTTGGCTGTTTGCACTCCCGAGTGAAATATTAGAGCGTTTTTGCAATCATTCTTTCCTGAGACCATTACGTGACAGCTTCATCAAAAGGATATTGGTATAAATCATCTTTATACATCTGCTTCTTTTCTAAAGGATGAATTTACTGATTTTTATCTCAATACTTCTGAACACAAAAGACAAATGTAAATGCTTTGACCTGCCTTTTTTTTTTTCCCCTCCATAAAAATTGGTGCATCTGCACCTCCTCGCTGGTAAAGCGTAGCTTGCCTGACAAAACTGCTTAATCAATGAAACGTGCTCCAAAATTGCTTTGGGATGGAAATGGAGAATGTATCTGCATAGTGTGTGCTGGGCAGATTATTAAAGTGAGATTTGCAATGGCTAAGGCTGGCAGTTTCATGCATGTGTGTAGGATGACTAAAGATTTGGGTGAGTGAGGTGCTAGAAATTGGTAGTTGGTTGTGGAGACAGCTGTAAATGTTACTGTGTGGGATGGGGAAAACCAACCAGGTTCTGTTGTCGTATTTTGTGTCTGTGCTGTTGTTGCAGCCATTGATACCCATGAGCTGATTCCATCAGTGGTCCACACAGAGGCTCCTGGGAGAAGCCAAACCATGCTGTGTTTACCAATGTCTCCTCTCTTCCTTGGGCACAGGTTTATTTTGGTGTGGCATACTGGACTTAGGGAGCACCTGAGTCTGATCTTGGCAGCACCGGCCACGACAGGCTCGTTTCCTCCTACAGCTGAGGATTTGCATTTTTTAGCAGAGTGAGTCCCTCTTCTACTCCTTTTCTCTTTGCAACCTCTCACCAGCTGACCATCCCAAGAGAAGTTGGCTGCAGTCTTGTGATGATTGCAGTTGTGTGGATCAGCTACAAGCTTTTGGGGAGCTTGTAGTGTGGAGTGAAAGCTGAGCAGGTGAATATGGTGCGTTGGTTGGTAGGAAAAAATAGGTCATGCTAGATCCATATAGGGACTGAAAAGGGGGCAAGTGCAGAAGACATCATGTTATCCTGGAAGAGGATTTTGAAGAAGTGTATCAGAAGGCCTAGAGCTTTTTCTGTGTGTGTATATTTTGGAGCAAGCTAGATTATAGAGGAAAAAAAAAAATCTACAACCTGATTCGCTAGTTTTGAAGTTTCTCTAAACTATGGATTGCTTTACCGAGCTTTTTCTTTGTGATGTTGCTTTAAAAATAATATTAAGAAAGACCATCACGTAAGGGTAATGAGCCTTCCTGACCCTCAGGTCTTCACCATAGCTGATACCATATGAGGCAGAGAGCTAGAGTACTCAATTTGGACAAGAGCGTTCCTCAGGGGTCCGCGGCCCTTCAGAGTGGGCAGGACACCTATCCGTGTCCCTTTCTTAATGAAAAAAGCACAACAGTTGCTATGCCAGACAGACCCCTTTCAGATCACTTGTGAGCGTCTCAGCTTCCAAGCACAGACATCTCAAGAGCTGCAGGTTGACTGTTATCTATTTCAATCTCCAGTTAAATGCAACTAGATGTTTTAAGTCTTCATATTTTAAAATTTGGCAGTTTGAATAATTCAGTTTTGGATCTGAAGTTGACAGAGAGGCAGGCAGGTTTTCCAAACTGATACATCATCTGGGATAATTGCCAGTCAAAGAAGCAAACTTGCTCTCTTATTGTAGTACACTGTGAAGCATGCCGCTGCACACCAGCGTTCGTGTTGTTCATGACACGTGGTTGTTAGCACAAGAACAGGATTTAACACGCGTTAGCAAGTAGAGTATGAAAGCATGTCTTTCCAAGAGTTGGTGTTCTGGTAGCACCCATCATATGTGCACTGTGTGGCAGGATGCTGTTCATCCAACTTGGTTTCACCTGGTACTGTGATCAGGAAGGTGGTTTTTCCAGGGTCGCTCCGGGACCGCTGGCTCTTGTGACTTAACCAAACCTCTGCTACAAAGCTGTTGGGGATGTGGGGAAGATACTGTGCTCTGGGCTGCGAGGAGGCTTAAGTGGATGTGCGGGGCAGCGTAAGAACAAGGCAGACATATACTTTCTCCCATGTACTCTCCAAACTGACAGCAAGTCTACTGCTGTCTTCATGAGTGAAGAATTACCTCCTTTTTTACATTGTGAAGCTCTTGTATTAGAAGAGGCAGTGAGCAGACCATCCCTATTCCCTGTCAGTGTTGCTTCTCATGGAGATGCACCAAATCCTCTCTTTCCTTCTGAGTCCTCTCTCTTACTGGTTATGGAACTTTTTTTTTTTTTTTTTTAAAACAACAGCTGCTCCATGACTCTGACTATTGTTACTTTTCACTGTACTTTTTCCAGCAGTAACAAATAGTGTGAGGTGAAGGGAGCAGAAGTGCACACGCTGTTTAAGGATTGCACTCTGGAGTCAGCAGGGACAAACTGACCTCAGCAGAAGACTGCGTGCCGGATGAATCCCAACACGTGACTGACTTTATGGGCTGCTGCAGGGCAGCAGAAGCTGAGGTCTTCGTGAAACGATCTTTCGTGTCACCCCAGATCTAGATTCTGCATGCCAGTGATCAGCTCAGAGCCACTGTTTCATCGGTGAAATGCTGTTTCTGCCCCTCCCCTCACGTGTATCACTTTCCTTTTATCTATGCCAGATTTCATCTGTCACTTTTATTGCTTGATCTGGCTAGATGTGGAGTGACTGGCATATGATGCCTGCATAGCTGTGGTTTCTTCTTCGGGGGTATCTTACAGCTACAGGGCACCACCCTCCTACTTTAATTCTTTTTCTGACAGCGATTTGACCCTTACCGTGCTGCCTCTGAGACTGGATATGGAACTTAGTTTCCCCTAGAAATGGAGACATCTGTCCAGCTTTTTACTCCCTATTTAGGATCCATAGGAAGTCTGGTAATAGGAAGGCAATGACTTGGAGGAGTAGCGTGGTGAACGTAAGAATAATCTTTGGTATTTACACAGTAGTAGATAAAGCTAAAATTTGGGAGAATAAGGTGAAAAGTAGCGTATTTTGAATTGAATCTTCATGTATGCTTTCTACAAAACTCGATACTATGCTAATTGTTTGACCAACTCTCCGTTGCAATAGTGGCGTGTGTTACCAAGACAAAACTAACTTTCTCTTGTTTTCAGTGTGAGGGTTTTTTTTTCTTTTTTACTCTCATTTATCCTAAGAGATGCTTTAGAGAGCAAAGGCAGGCATCTTTATTTTACTAGCTGGAATTGTATTCCAGGGATGACTCAGAAGATGTCATATTGCTTGCTATAGTTATTGTTGGCAAATGATTTCAGAGCTGGCCTTTAGGAAGGGATATTAATAATGGGAAGAGACTGGCTTTCCTCTGTTTGAAGAGGGTAATATAGAAGAAACATCTAACAACAAGAACATTTGGGCATCTAATCTTAAAAGAAAGGGTTAGTCACAAAAATTAGGATGATGAATATGCTTTCAAGCGTAATTTTACTTGATGACATTAGAGTATAATGGTGTAACTAGGTCACAAAGATTACAATAACTGCATGGGGTTACCACCGAATACTTCTTAATGACAGGTATTTTGTATTACATGACATCTGTTTCTCTGTTTCTTTTCTCTTATTTAACTATCTGTATTGTGGTTTTTTGTTTGTTTGTTTGTTTTACTAGATGAGGGCTATTACCAAGCTGGAAAGTTTCAGTTTGAAATTGAAGTTCCTGATGCCTACAATATGGTGGTGAGTATTTGTCATTAGTCTAATAGTTGTCATTTGATGTTTCCTTTCCACGTAATAGGACTTCAAAGGGAGCATGGCACTGAGACTAAGAAAGGATCTACTGTCTGCTGCTAACATTTCACAGAATCATAGAAAAATCTTGGTTGCAAGGGACTTCTGGAGGTCATCTAGTCCCCTGCTCAGAGCTGGAGTAGTATTAAAGGTGGATCAGGTTACTCAGACCTTGTCCAGTCAACGTTTGAAAAGCTGAGGACAGCGATTCCACTCTCTGGGCCCCTGTTCCAATGTTTCGTTACCCTCGGTGTGAACGTGTTTTTTCTCCTCCCTATCTGGTGAGAGTTCCCCTTGTTGCAGCTTGTCTGTTGCCTCTTGTCTCATGACTGTGCGCCTCTGGAAAGAGTCCGTCTCCATCTTCTCTATAGCTTCCCATTAGGTAGTTGTAAATAGCAGTCAGGTTCCCACCTTTAGCCTTCTCTTTTCCAGGCTGAGCAAACCTGGGTCCCCTCAACCTCTGCCAGACTCGTAAGCGTCTTAGTGGCTCTATGCTGGGCTTGCTTCACTTTGTTAACACATATTGTACTGGGGAGTCTGAAATGGGGCACAGTGTTGCAGATGCAGTTTCGGGAGTCCCAGGGAGGGGAAATTATCTTTTCCCTTGACCTGCTGGCTCTACTCTTGCAGTCCAGTGTTTGATTAGCTTACCTTGCTTCAAGGATAGTATTTCTTAAGGGAAGAAGAAAGAAATGAAAAGAAAGAAAAAGGGGAGGAAAAAACACAATGGATTTGCAACCCCCTGGGGGAGGCTGCTTAGAAGTACAAACCAGTCACGTCTCGGGATCTCCCTTTTGACTGAGGTCCCGCTCTCATCTGTTCTCCCTTGTTAATTATCCTTGAGACCTGCACTGAAAGATTATTCTCACAGAAATGGTATATCTGTAACAGAACAAAATAGGTAAATAGAAAGGAAGAAAATGCACTTGTTGTTTTTCTGGGGCCTTCAAACTTGTGCTAGTAGTTCTGATATTGGACTTCGGTGCCCTTTTCAGAACAAACAGTAGAGGATGCACAGAGTAAAGCACAGATAGTACAAGTGGCCGCCTCCTGCTCACTCCACCAGTTCTGCTTGTTCCCTCTCGGGCTGTTTAATTGAGTATCTTAAACAGCTATTTCAACAGATACTCAGCAAACAGTTATTCAGAGGACCTCCAAATGATTGCCATATCTTACTATAGATAAATAGAAAACTTCAGACAACTTGCCCTTTCAAACATGAAAAATTTTGGTATTTCATGATTTCGTTCTACTAAAAATGCAGATCCTAACAAGAAAGGGGAAGGTGCACCTGCAGTAAAAATAACTTCAGACTTTGTTTTTGGAGTCTTAACTGTCAAAAGAGCAAGATTGACCCCAGAAGTGGGAAAGAGCTGAGGCAAAAGTCTGATTCTCATGAACTACTGCTGCCAGTCTGTATTCTGGTAATTTGGTATGCAAGGAAACTCATTTGAGCATTGAAGTTGCAGTATTAGTGTTTAGATGTATGAACCGTGGGAAGTATGAAGCTTTGTTTTGGTTTAGTTTGAATATTTTTTTTGGTAATCTCTTGTAACATTTTTTCCATCCTTGTGTTTTATTTTCTTACTCTTGGCACTGATAGTTCAGAGCCCTTGTTTTAGAGGGACTGAAGAATGTGTAGGGGAGGATACTAGAGCAACATGTCTGAGAAGACCTTTGATCTCTGTGTTTAGATGTGTCAAGCCTAAATACGGCATCGTATGTATGTAGTAGTTGCAGTCACAGCATTATTGACGTGACTATATATACATATATATATACATACACACACACACACACACATATATACACGATCACAAAGGAGTGCAAACTTTTGGAATTTTAATAGCTTGAATTCCCAGACTGAGTTTGGAGAACAGAGCATTAACACTGCTAACGGAGTAGAAAGGTTATGTTTCTGAAAGTGGTGAAGTTGGATTTGCATTCCAGAAGATGCCTTCATAAGTTTTCTAATATTCCCTTATTTATAGTCTATTGGAATATGGAATATGCACCATGTTTCTTTATTTAAAAAAAAAAGTCCACCCCCCCCCCATGGCAGACTGCAGCAATTCTGAAACACCTATGAATTTTCCTGCTCCTTTTCCAATAATAATGCTTTCCCTTCATAATAATACTGGTCGGAGAAAGCAGGCAACATTTAGCAATATTTTCTGGTGAACTCTGAGTTACTGGTAGAAATTTTTTTTGTTTTGCATGGCTTCAGGGAAGAGGTTTTGATCAGTCCCCCCACAAGGGACCATCCCACTCGCTTCACAATTCCATCAGTCCTACTCGATTCTTTTGTTTGGGAATTGGTAAAAAGAGAAAAGTAACGTTGCTTGAAGATCTCATGCTTCCACAGTTCAGGGATTTATTAAATTGGTCAGAAAGGAAGGGTCGTATTGAATCTCCTAATGATCTGCCCAGTCAGTGGGACAGTCTCCTACAGCTTGGTGTGTCTGTGGTGTTCTTTTCTTTATTCTTTCTTTTTTTCTCCTTCAAAACAATGCTTAGGATCATAGCTATCTTTATTGTTATACTTCTATTAGTGTATGTAGGTGTTCTAGCTAAAGCTTTTGCAGCTAGATGTGGTGGGGTTTCTTTTTTTTTTTAAGTTTGTTTTAAGTTGCCCTTAACCTCACCAAATACTTTTCACATGGTGGTATAGGTCAAATTTACTAGCTTTTGTGTGTGATTATGCACAGGCTGTAAATACAAAGTTGGTGATTTAAAATGACCTCATCCTTGTTCTAACTTGAATAAATTGAGCCATCACATACCTGAGAAATATAACATTCATGATAAAGGAGGAAACCCTCTCATGCTCTCAACTGTCTAATTTTTAGTCACCTTCAGTAGTAGCAGCAGCTTAATAGCTCTGGGGCAATGCTGGGTGATAATTAAGGCAGAAGGGAAGAATACGCAATACATACTCATCTTAATTTCTTAAATCTTCTGCTTATAGTGTTTGCCTAAATAGCGTTGGTGTGGGGAGGTACTTGCTGCGGGTTGACAGGAGAACTGCACATTGATTTTTATTTTATTTTAATTCTAAATTGTGGTAATTAAAGCTTCTTCTGATTTGTTATGGTTCGGTGCTCCATGTCAACAGAAAATCTGCAGCAAATGTTAATTAGGGATTTCTAAATTCTAAGCATCTCAACACAGATGCGCCTTTGCACATTTAAAAAGAAAAAAAAAACCAGCAGGTTGAATGTTGAAGTATGGTCAGGTTATTAATGAAAACACGTATATTCACAAATATTGGGGCAGTTATGCGGAGGCCGTGGTTTGTTTTCTGTCAGGCAGAATCTGACTGAAATCGATAGTGGCAATGTCTTTAAAAGAGCACTTCAGAGTTGCCTGCACTCTTTCAACCCCTAAGCGACGTCAGGATGTCATACATCTGCATCGAGCTCCTTGCGGTAGTGCCGAAGATGCTTATTACTAGGGAGTAAAAAATACCAGATGAGAGTGGCAAGTCGTTATAGCTTTGCCTCAGAGCCTGCGTCCATTTTCTATCTAATTTCTTTAGCCTGCAGAAAAAAAGAACATCTGTTTTTAAAGCTACAAAATGCATAATTTATAGTGCAATTTCTGTAACAGCATCCTTTAACTTCTGCAGTATGCTGCTGCCAAAATTCTGTGTGTTCATTGCTCCTCTGAGGAATTAGTCTTTTTTCCCTTCATTGATCCTAAGCAAGCATTCAGCTTTTGCACTAGAAAGAGAAAGAGGTGTGGAGTGGTGGCATAGTGAAAAGGGATCCAATACATAATTAAAGAGGAAAAACTTGGAAGATTTTTATATTGTGAACTGCAGTGCTGGCATACTTTTCTGCCCAGGAAGCAAGTCACTGGAGGCTGAGCTGTTTTCTTGGCAAGTAGTGGATCTGTGAATATAGGGAAGTAACTTATCCTCGTCCTTTATGTATGACTGGTTATGCTATACCATGACTTTTGGCACCTAGGCGATAAAATTCCTTCGTGCCAACGTTCAGGATCCTAAAACGTACGAGAGATGCTTTGCAGCATGGATGCTTTGGGATGAGCCCTGCTCCGAAGTGCTGCTGCTTGCTTGTTCACAGAGCACACAGCAAGAGTTTAATCAGAGGTGTCTAAATCATCGAGATGCTGTACTTGAGTATTGGAAATGTTTATTAGAATTATCTGTAAGGCAATAAAATACTATAAGGGTTCTTCCAGTAAGTTCATAACTAGCTAAACCTACTTAAGCTGTTGGAGAGGTGGATAATTTTAGAAAGTGGCTGAGCTTGAGAAAAGGGAAGGATTTTTATTTTTGATCACTTCTTGGACATGCAAGGATGGTTCAGATACGTTTGCGCTACAGTGCTATTAGTAATTGAATTGTATCACACACACACACCCCCCTTGCAGTTTGATAGAGGCTGCATTTTGCTTTGTGGCTTCCAGGAAGGCTGAGGAGAAGAGCGGTGAGTTACTGCAGTAAGAGCTCACCCAGGGACTCTTTCTAAAGCCGAGTGTCCCCCAGAGAGGGGAACTCTTCCACGTGCTAGAGTTGTGCATTGTCCTGTTGGCTAGGTGCCAGTGATTGCTCTTTCACTGTTGCTAATTTAATGCTCTAATTGAGCAAATGTCCATGTTGGTTGTTGTTTGGTTCGGCACAGTCAGAGGAAACGGACCTGATGCTACTCGTGGCCCATAAGCAGTCTTCTCCTGCACCACTGCTCTCTGAAGGCAGCACCCGAGAAGTTGCATGCCTCGGCAGTCGTCGTGGGTTGGTTCAGCTGGTACGCTAATGAGCACTCTCCTGTGGGCTTTGTATTTTAATATTTCCTTGCTCTCTAGCATTTTAAATCTCTTTTCTTTCTGCCTGATGAAGGGAGACCCAGGCTCGCTGTTATCTTTTTTTCCCATTCAGGTGTTAGTGGGAATCTGCTACAAAGAACTTCGATATTGAAGTTACTGCTCACTCTTTACGCTTGCGTTTTGGAAATGGAGCCAGAATGAGGAATTCTGTTTGTCCTTCCTCTGTGGCATCCCGGTGAACAGTCGGGTGATGCTTCCTGCAGTCCTAATGGAGGAAGCAGAGTTGGCTGCGCTCCCAAGGACACAAGCGTATGTGTGCAATCCCAAATGAAAAGGCCACTGCTTTCTAGGGACAGTTGAAATAAAAAACATCCTGAAAGGAGGGTTTCCTCCCGTACGTGCCCCAAAAATGTCTTCAGAAAGGAACTTGGGCATCTCAAGTCCGTTCCTCTGTGAGCCTCTGGTTCTCAGGAGCTTCTGAAATTTTCTCGTGACAGAGTTTTTCTGGGGCTCGGATATAGATGGGTAGGAAACTGAGCTGAATTCAACCCTTTTTTTCCACTGTTCAGTTTTTGAGAAAGCCTCTAATGAAGAACCATTAGTGCAGTGCTCTGTGCTGGGGACAGAGCAGGCTGGCTGTCTTTTGGAAACCTTAGGAAAACCTGGCATCGTGTGTGCAGAATCCTCTCTTTGCATCTGAACTCTTTCAATTCCTTTGATTTCTCTTCACAGCCAAGATTTTCTTGGTATTTATAGCACCATTTTAAAGGCATGACATGGAATGAGCAGGCTGCAGCTTTTGGTATCTTCTGGACTCTGTGTAATTCTTCCCATGAGAGGACTGTCTCCTTTCTGGATACAAAAAGAGGAAAACTAATGTTTTCATCTTGAGAGGTGTTTTCCCCCTAAAGTGAGAACTCTTTAATGTGAAAAGATAGTAGGATGATAAAAGTAAGGATGTTTAACTATGAATTTTTTTATGGCATTAGAAATCTTTAGAAGATCAACACTTAATTTTGTCCTTTCTCTAAGCTGGTTTGAAAATTTTCTTTTTTCTTTCTCTCTCTTGGTTCTTATGATAGTTGTTCCCTGATTGCATATCCGTATGTATATGAAACTGGTGCTGGAACCACTGGGAGTGGGATTTGAAGCTGGTCCGGAGAAGGTTGAGGAAGTCCCATCGCCCTTGCTAATGTTTGTGCTTGCAAAAATTGCTGGTAGTGTTGCTGTCCATACAGACGTAAGAGGAACTGTGAAAGAGCAAGCAAAACAACAGCATTTGTAACAAATGCCCTTAGCATCAAGTGCTGCAGTTTGACCTCTGTCTCTGCAGCATCTGTTCCCCAAGCACCTCTCTTGGTTGATCAGCTGCCCTGAAACAGGGGTCAGTGGCAAATGGGAGCAAATGTAAAAAAAAAAATGCACTGGTCAGTGAGCTTTCTTGATGAAGAAATAGCTTTTTCTCTGCTTTCAGCTGCAGCTGAAACCGCGGGTGTTACAAGATTAGGGACCTGTTGCTTAACCTGATTCTGTTAGTACTGACGTGGTTCAACATTGACATAAAACTTAACTTTCGGACACCATTCCTTGTGCAATTCTTGCATGTGTTTTAAGGTCCACTCCTACTATAAGGCTACTCCTCTTCCACTTGTTGAGCTGTATAATGCAGTATTGATCATATTCCAGTTAAAGCACAGGGCAGCGTGGCTCTTCCCCCCCCCCTCCCCCTTTTTTTTTTTTTTTAATATTCAATTGTTAGAGAAGGCAACTCCTGAGGAATCAAACAAGCATTGTAGAATGCTGATTCTTTGGAAAAAGAAAAAAAAAAAAAGACAGAAGCTTAACTCATTTCTCAGGGCTGTGTGCTAAGCTCTGGGTGCTCAGTTTCAGCCTGTCTCAGAGCTCTTCAGGGATTGGTAAAGGAGAGGGACTGACAAGAAATACATCAGTATTGTAGGACTAGGTTGTAGTTTGGTCTCTAATTGCTATCCCTAATAACGCCTCTTTCGGAGAATTCAGTTTTGTAGAAACTAAAGAAAAAACTGGAGTCATCGTTGCAGTGCAGTTTACAAGAATGCTTTGGGCTGACCATCTAGACTCTAGGCAAAACGTTTGAAATAACATTATAGATCTCAAATTTCTACTTGGAACCTCATTATTTCTACAGGAAAAAGCTTCTTGTGAAGCCTTTTTAAAAAAAGGAAAAGCAAGCTATAGGAAAGACTAAACATACACCTACTAGTACATTTGTAGCCCAAAAGTTATTAGACTTTCCAAGCTGATGAACTTAATTAACTTCATTTATTGATTGGCTTTTCATATCCAGTCTCATATGGTGAGTGATTCTCACATGACCTTGAAGAAAGCAGAGACTGAAGTTTGAGATTTTTTGTGACCCTTCTCTGTATATCTCCTAGTGAGTGGACTTAGAGCACATCAGTTACCCTGGACAGTTGATACCTTGTATACAGTTACCCATGGCAAATTCAAGGTCCCTTTTCAAAGCAGAATGCTATGCCATTGAGTAAGAGTGCGCATGTGGCATTTGGAATAAAATAATTAATATTCCGTGAACCTGCATGCTCTCTGGTCTTTAGACAACTCGTTTTGTGCAGCCCTACTCTTGAAGAAAGAGAATAACAGAAGGGAGAGATTATTAGTCACGTTTGTTTTTTTTTTTTTAAAAAGGGACAAATTTGATCTGGAGCTTGTTCTGTAAAACTTCTACCAAATCTGAAGTTAGTACACGCGTAGTTTTCGAATGCTTGCGATATTCCCTTATACCATTGATGGTGGGTTTCGGCACTTGTGAACAGAAACCAGGTTGTTGAAGTATACTGAGAACAGAAGTAAAGCCAGTTTCTGTTATCACAACTAATTAGAGATCTTAAAAGGTAAGTGGCTACTTAGACCTGGAGAAGAAAACTGGTTTTTCCATTGTTGTGATCCCCGAATCTCAGGTTCAGCTGCCTGTGCATCTTCCAGTATCTGACGCCGGGGCTGAGTGTATGAACAATGAAATAAATCATGCCTATGCCTGGGAGATGGTCTGAGGTGTTCAAGTGAAACAGTCGTTTCAAGGAAATCTTGTGCGGATTTGGTGGTGTAAGGAAGGCTCAAAGCTGGTTGAGCTCTGAGAAAGGGAAGTCTCATGAGAAGACAGAATTTCTGATAGCCCTTCAGTTGTCCAACAGAGAGAAAACTTTTGTTTTACGGCCCGGAGTGATTTTTGTTTCTGAATTCTGAAGGTGAGAAACGCTTTGGTTCTTAATGAAAAGGATAAATGAGTTCTTTTGTTTCTACATTACTAAAAATGGAGGAACGAGTTACTTGTTTACTGTTTAGCCTTAAAAATGACTTTTAGGACTTTGGGGGGGGGGGTTGAAAAGACTTAGTTCGTGAAGAAGCTTACCTTTCTCTACTCGTCGCTGCGTTCCCTGTCTGAAGGCACATACGTTAGAACTTCTCTTTTTATCTTGAGCTACAGGCATGGAAGAAATACCACTCTGTCCCTGACTTTTTTTTTCTTTTTCTTGAGAACTAGACATAATCTTTCAAAACAGTGCGAAGGCGTTAATTCAGGAAAGATTGTGCTATTATCGAACTTCAAAGGGGAACGCTTATGGACTTTATAAATAAGTTTGTTGCTGTTTTCTACATGCCACTTAATTTGCAATAATAATGTGGCCCAGCTCTTGGGCAGTCGGTGTCCCATGATGACTAAGGTTTGAGCAGTCATTGGACAGCCATGAAACGTGTGTAGACAAAAGTTAGTGTCTGAATTACGAATTTTAGATGTGTTGTAATAATAGGGGTTTCTTTTTTATCATTACTTCACTTTTTTATTGCCATACAGGTATGGTATTGGTAGCTTAACACCACAAATATTTCCTCTTCTTGTCTCTGGGGAGCTGGGCTGAATTTGTAATATGTATTTAAATATTGTACTAAGATGCTGGCAATTGGAGAGCAGAGAAACGAGCCAAAAAACACTGCGTGCCACTGTGCGAATGAAGCTATTTTGACTGAAGGCTTGATGGGAAGCGGTGGAGAAAAGTAGCTCTGCAACTCTAATGTGTGATTTAATTGAAGCTGTGGAAGGTACTGGCCTGTGTTGATGTATACCAGGTTACCTGCTGTAAGAAATCGCCTGCTTGACTGAGAGCTGCAAATTGTAATTTGAAGAACAGGGATGGCATAATGGGCTGTTGCTAAGCTACTAGAATTTTAATGACCCATTCTTTATTTACTTTGCAAAACCAGAGCAAATGAGAGGGTTTTCTTTAAGAATCTGCATGTCAAAACCCACTGTGGAGTTTAGAATCCTGATGACCTTGCCTTAAAATAAGCTTGGTTTTTACACTAGTGTGTTAAGTCGGGGTGTGAGTGGTGCTCTTGATACTTCTCTGAGTGCTTCTGAATAGGAGGGTCTTTATTCAAAATAAAGTGTTCTTTTGATGTAGTTCTTACTGATAGATGCTCTGCTGTTTTTAGCAAACACCCAAAACTTGTCTGGGCCCTGGAAAAAGAAAACATGTAGCTGTGTTATGAGTTAAATTGTTGTCTTGCTGATTAAATGTTAAGAAACTGAATAACATGTGGAGCTTTTTCTCCCTGAAGGAGACAGGCGAGGAGAGTAAATAGAAGCTCTGTCAGTGATCTGGCTTTCTTTAAAATTGTGTGGTGGTTTTTTTTTTTTTTTTTTTTTCTCCTAAGAACCAGCTGAATACCAGCCCAGCTTTTGTATAGAGCTGAGAGAAGCTAAAAGCACGGAGAAGGCTGGTGCAGCTTATATAAGTTATATTATCAAATCCTTTAACATTCCAGCCTAGGCTGTGACTGTCAAATATGTCTGGCTTTTCAGTTCTGTAACTTGTATCCATGCTTTGGTTTTATTTTAAAGGATAACATTATCACTTGTTTTCTGTCCTGGCAGCCTCCAAAGGTAAAATGCTTGACAAGAATCTGGCATCCGAACATTACGGAGACGGGAGAAATCTGCTTAAGGTAGCAACAGCTTTCTGTTTTTCACTTCAGAGGTTTTTCTGTGTGTGATAAAACACTGTGTGTAATTTTCTCGTCAGCCTTGTTTAGCATCTCAACAGACTCTGCAAGTCAGATGGGCACGCGACCCTTGAATGCAGACAATCCACTGACAGCATGGTTCCTGCTGTGGATTGGGGACTGCAGAGAAACCCGTTCTTCCGATTTGGACTTAACGTTTTATTTTATCTAGGGTGAAAGCATGAACTCCAATCCAGACCAAAGTTGGTCGGTCTTTTTCTCCCCCCCTTCCCAGGTGAATAATTCTCAGTGAGGTGGCTTAAAGCTTTACTTGTTTAATGCCTAAATGTGTTAAGTACTTGGAAACCATTTATGTTTCCCAAAGGAAAAAAAATGCCTTGAACTTTGACAATAATGACTTTATATTCGCCTTTGTTTATTTTCAGCACTTAATATCTGCTACAAGACACATGTGTTGGTTATAACAAAACATGAGAAATACACTTTTCCTTTAAAGGGGGGTGGGGGTGCTTAAGTGAAAGTATGAAGCCCAAAAGCTCGCTTTTGCTGAAGTAACAGATTTATATCACTGCACTTTTTTGCTTGATAGTAAATGTTTCTTCTTTAAAGTCAGTTTTTGAAACCCTGTAATTTGAGTGTTTCATCATGAGTACCTGATGGTGAAATTGGCCAGAAACGAAACATAAACAGAAGTGGAAAGCATGGCTGTCATTTTTTTTCACGTTGATGGGACGTGAAAGGAAAACTAAATGAAGCATAAGCAGTGAAAAATAGCAAGCTGGAAAACCGTTCCGAAAATCCAGAACGGTCCCCGCCATCTGTAGCAGATCAATGTTTTCTTAAAAACAACTTTTTCTTAACTCTTCTAGATGAAGAAAGTCATTTTAGTGTTATGCAAAAACATAACACTATGGAAACACACATGGAAAAAAATGAGGTTTTCATATGGAAGTCTGCCACACCTTATAGGTTAGGTTAGGCTCATGAGCTGATAAAAGGGACAAAGCTATTATCAGTGCTTTTAGCTGTAATACCCTTGTCCATCCTTCTGACAAGCTAATAATCAACGTATAGCAGAAACCAGACTAGGAAGGCTGTAGCACCTACCTGATGTGCTATAGCTGTCAGACTGCAGCAGGAGTAAAGTCAGCGAGGGCTGGTGACCATAGACTTTAAAATCTGACTTTGGAGATTTGAAGATTTTAAGCTGTGGAAAAACTTAGAAAACACAAGACACCTGAGACTTTCTTGCTAACATTTCTTGAAAGAGTATGCTTGTCCACCACTGTTGGGATTTGTGTGCCAGTGATACGGGAAGGCTGTTTCAGCAGATAAGTATTGCTACTCTTGGCAAGTTTGCTATCTGTCCAGACCTGCGCTGTTTTAGAGTGCCTCCTAGAACTATTGCATTTTACCCAGTTGAACTTTTCATTTGACAGTAGGGACACTGATTTAAGGATCACTTATTTTACAGTTTAAATTCTACCGAAGTCCTTGTGACTTAGTGGAGAAAGCTTGGATGCTTTGAGTCAAAAAGCCTAAGTAAAGGAATGAATAAGGGAGCTGTGTGGAACCAACCAACAGGACATACTAGGCAGCAAAACATAGGTAAAAATTTAAGCTCTGACTATAGTGCTGCATCTTCAGAAGCTAAATAAAGCCTCCTCGCGTTCCTGAGGATATTTGTGTGTCTAGGCTTAAAACGATTTTAATTCTGACAGGTGAACCTGGTGTTTGAAATCATAATTCTGCTTCATGAAGTGAAGTCATTTCTTCAGAATCTACTCTGAAACCTCAGCTTTATTTGATTGTCAGATGCACCTTTAAAGTGTCTAACAATTTAGATAGAAAACTAAAATAACCTAGATTGCTTTATGCCTATTATAATGGAGAATGCTGTCTATATATATAGTGTCTGCAATCTTCTTCTAGAAGAGTCTTTATATAAAAATAGCTTCAAATGTTGGTTTTTTTTTGTTGAAGCAGAAAAAATCCCGATTAGTATGTTTTCCAACTTTCTTTTACTAAACATACCTTTATGGTGTCATATCCGTTTGCGTAGATAATCATGCCAGGGTTGAAACATAGCAAATGATTAGACTTGCATCAGATATAATTGCTTTGGGTAGGAGAAGCATTGTTTCTGTGTTTGGTGGGTTGCGGTTATTCAAATTACATCTGGACTGTACTTGTGGGTACTGTCTCCATTGCGTACATATGTGGGTGAAAAACATCAAGGTACGTAGAACAGACACGCTTACTAAATATTGCAGGTGACTACTTGCTTGAAAAAGTGTTACACGTGTTTCTGATTTTTTTTTTCTTATTGATTTGGTTTCATCTGCGTAAGCTTTTAGAATAACGTTGTCATGCTACGTTGGCGGTGCTAGTTCAGGAAGGTGGAGAAAGACGAGACTGAACAGGGAGGTGAGCAGCTGCAGGAAGAGAAGAAGCCCTAGAAAGTGTCTCCGCCAGTGGAGGGGTTCCGAAGTGGATTTACAGCCTCTTACCTCAAACTTACCTTCAGTGATGCTTTCTGCTGAGAAAAGGAAGACAAAAGCGTTTTATTGGAACTGAAGGTTCATGCTGATAAATGTGTTCATCTGAGATCTTTAAAGCGGATTTTTCTTGGGACTGATGTCCCTGTTCCAGTAATTTTTTTTTTTTAGTCAGTTAAGCTGTAAATCATGTCAACTTGAGTTTCAGAAAGTTTTAAAATTGTCAGAGTCACGCAGTCCCCGCTTCAGTAGAAGTTTTTGAGAGGTCTCTTTAGGATGCTGTGTATTTAAAGGAGAAAAGGTTTTGAAGAAATTTTCCTTGTTCAGTCAGGAATTAAGTCACAGAATAACTGTGGAAACTAAGGGCTTAAAACCTGGCTGGTCATTATCAGTGGCAGTTTTGGTTACTGTACCTCCAGAAAGAGCAATTTCACAACCTTCCCATAGGAACTCAGATATAATAATTTGAAATCATTCTTGTGAGGTCTCTTTAGGGATAGAAGTGCCAGATGTGAAGGTGCGGTCGTCAGTTCCAGTCATCGTCCAACCAGGGATGTGTTTGGCTTGTGTCAGTTCCTTGCTCAAGATAAAGGAAATGGAAATACTCTTTTTAAGTCCTTCCCTGTTTTTAGTCAAGTTACCTGCCTGATAAGCTCCTGTTCGTACTATACAGCACTTATCCTTCTGTTGGCCTTGTCGTTTGTTCCGCAGCGAAAGTGTTTACTTGCTATGTTCAGCAATCCGCAGTGTTGCAGAATTTGCAGAATTAGCTTACCCCTCTCTTTATTGATGTGCAAAATCATTCTGAAGTATCGCAAGGGAGGTTTCTGCATGTTTTTTTAATCCAAATACTAGATAAGGATCCTGGCACTCTTGTATCATACAGCAACATCCTGGCAATTTTAGAATAATCACCGCAAGTAAACAGGTTTTCCCCACTCATCAGGTATCTTGAAAACCTGTGTAGAACAGATGGCGTTTGTGGCGTATCTAGAAGCTCATCGAAGGAAGCCTCTTGAAGCATCAAGTGGGGGAGAGAAACACTGCAGTTTGTGCCGTTTGAGCACTTCCCCGTAGCCCAGCTCCTCTATGGCAGCACCACTCTGGGAGGACAGATGCAGGTGCTTGTTCCTGCCCTAACTAATTCATGATCTATTTTGCTTATTTCTGCTCATTAGGGATGAAACAGCTCTGCCGTTTGTTCTTACGGTGTTCTGAGAGCAGATCACCGTTCAGGCCTCCAGACTGGCTGGCTGGTATATCTGGGTCATCCCCATGGAGAACACGAGATGCTGTTTCTGTAGGCACCCTGTGCAAGGAAAAGGTGTTGATTAGGGCCAGAATGATCGTTCCCATCCGAAGGGAGAAAGAGGATGCTGTCTGGAAATGAATTATATCAGTAAGGCAGTGATAGTAGAAAAAGGGATGCTTATCTATCTTCATTGCTTGGTTGCCAGAGCTGTCTGAGGGGTATGAGTGTCTCATCTCCGGGTCCTGGCTGCCAATCTTCCCTAGCTGGAGATTTGCCTAGAGAGAGCTCTGAGCCTTTGGGAAGCTTGAAGGGTGTTAATGAGGCTTAGCTGGTATGCTCAGGCACTTTGAGCTCTATCAGTCGATATTTTTATGCTTTTTTTTGGTCTGTGTTAACTTATTTCTGGCTCTTGCACACAGAGTGAACTATATGAACAGGTCAAGGGAAGTACTGGTAGCTAATGTAGCAACGTCTTTTGAGGAGGAGACATACTGAAATGAAGTTAAAATTATGATCCATTGCTTGCTCATCCTGGCTCTTGCCTCTTCCACCTCATTCGTGCTTTTACTTTCACGCTATGAACAAAAGCCATAGCCACAATATGCTGTTTTTAGTGTTCTTGAAATTAGTTTTGGGCTGCACTCGTGGTGGTTGCGTTATTTATCTTTTTAAAAGCACAGAAATGAGACTAGCAGCACAGTTAAGATGGATTTATCTTGCCCAGTATTATTGCAAGCGTGTTCTGAAGCAGGTATAGAACGCTTTAGTACAGGCTAACTTCCCAGTCTCTCGGCAGGCAATATAGGGCAGTGCTAATCACTACTTTTCCTTCAATTAAAAACCTTGCTTATTCAATAAATAATTGTTCGGATAGACTATATGGTTCAGTCATTTGTAGCTTAAAACAGAATTAATATATGTCATCCTAAAAGTTGGAAAAAGCTAGTGATTTAAGACAATTTTACTTTAACCCTATCGTTTCAGCAGTAGAAGCCACTTTTGGTGATACGTTTTGGTGCTTGGCTACTTTGCTGCGTGAGTTTTCTGTTTCAGATTACCTCTTAACAGAGGAAGACAACTTTGTGAAATGATGTTTAAAGGAGTTTTCATACTGTTTTTTCATTCTGGTTATTACTTTTGTTTGCATAAATGTGAGTGAGACTTCTGCTCATTTCTCAGTTATGCTCTGGTCTGCAGTATTTTTAGTTCTCATAACTGTTCATGTTTTGATCCTTAAGGCCCAGGAATGACTAACAAACTGAATACACCTCAAATTTTTTTTTCTGCTTTTCAACGGGTAAATGGGTTAACTGTTTCACTGGACTTGGTATGCATCAGAATATGCAAACTCTCTATACCGTGTGTGGGTGTCCCTGTATAGGACACCCACACACTGTATAGGAAAGTCCATATCTTAATTGTGTATATTTAAATTTGGGAGCATGTATTTACAGCTAATAAGAAACTCTTTCCTCCTGCAAGCAGTCTGTTTTGCCCAGTGTATGCTCTTCATCTGTGCTTTAATGTCTGTACTGACTTGATTTCCAGTTGGGGGTGTATGGTGTTGAGTTTGTCTGTAAGGCTTAAAATATTTTGCATGCAAAAGTGGGCTGGGGTTTTTTCGTTTTTGTTTTGGGGTTGAACTATACCAAATTTGTTGGGATGCAGGATATTCTGCAAGGCCTCTCTCTTCACCAGAGACGGATATGTCCTAAACTGGAGTACCTGCGTATCTGTGTGCTCAGGTGAAAAGCAAAGCTCAGTATTGGGACTGTGTCAGGAGGATTGTTGCCACACTTGTTACAGTTAATCAAAGCAATTTGCTTTTTGACAAAGCTGACCTCAAATCCAGGAGATCTGTAGTGAAGAATATAGCGTGAAGAATATAGTTCTAGGATGGCATACCAGTTTTTCTGTGCATTTTTTAATCTCTCACTCCAAGATATAGTGCGAGTGGTCTGTAACTCTTACATTGCAAATAAGTTGTCTTCTAAGATTTCTGACAAAATTTGTTTAACCAGAAGTTGCACTGTGTAATATATGTATCTTTTTTCCAGTTTATTGAGAGAACATTCAATTGATGGAACTGGCTGGGCTCCAACTAGAACATTAAAGGTACCATTTCCTTTTAGATACGTACATCAAACTAGATCTTTTAAAATATTTTTGTGGACATGCAAAGAGACAGATGAAGCAAACTACATTAGAAACAATTGGGTTTTTGTCTTTCAGCAGTGTCTTTCATCCAGTGTTGGTGGCAGTATTAATGACAAGTGCAATGCTAACTGATTATAAAACAGTTTGCTAGTTCTAGTGTAGCTGCCAAATACCATTTTCACTGATCAGAGGTTATGTAGAGTGCTGAGACTGTATGTGACCCTGAAAAGCCACGGTCAGTAAGGGTGGTCTGCTTTAATATTAGGCTTTTTGCCCAGACGACAAATAGAAGAGCGGGATGTGAGCAGGACAAACACTGATTCATAACCCTTGTAACTTCCACTGAATTGGCACTTCTGGCAATAGGTTGTCTGTGAACCGCGGATGAACCTCTTTCATCCTCAGTGTTCAAATTCGTGAGGAACACAACTGCGTTTAGGTGTTGCACAAGCAGGGCCCTGTTGACTGTTTTAGCAAGTCCAACAGGGAACTAAGTGCCTCTGTCCTTTGTTTGCCTTGAATGTCATTTTGCCCAAGTCACTTAAAATGTAAGTGAAATTTTGGCCCCCTTTGAAGTCGATGGCAGGGCTGGCTCTGTAATTGCAGAACGGCTTTAGAAGTCAGTCCTAAGACAGTTTGGCAGCGTTAACAAATTCAGAGTCATAGGTCCCGTATGAAATACATCTCAGGGAGATGGCTGCAAAGGAGGTGTATTTCAGCTCTGTGACCGCTCTGGGCTTCTTACAGAGAGCGGTCCGCTTTACTTACACTATTACATTGCGTGGGGTGAGAGTCTCTCTCTCTGCCTTTACTAGGATACCCTGCCTGAATTGGTTCTTAAAGACCACGAGCTAGGTATATAAAGGTTACACGTGTCAGATGTTTGTTTGTTTTCAAAACCAAATTGAGCATGAGTTTTGCCAATTATTTGATTTCTTTTTTGGAAGCATGATGAGATCTTTGACTTCTGATTCTTTATCTGTAAAATCTCTTTACGACCTGCTTGATTCTTCTGGAAAGTGAAGTAGGTGGATGACAGAATAAATGCTATTTTCTATTCAGTTAGTATTTGCTGTGGTTTTTTGGTTTGGGGGGTTCTTTTGCTTTGTTTTGGGGGTGGTTTTTGCCCCTTGTATTGTTCCATTTTCACGCTGGCTTAAATCAAGGCACTGCCTGGGTTATTAAGCTAACTGGTTTCGTTTCTGTGCCTGTATTTCATTCCCAAAAATGTTGTTGATATCTAAATGCTTAAGCCTTAACTATTAGAAAATTAGCACACCAATATCATGACTTGAAAAGAGTGCACATATGTTTTTTATCTGCCATGCTATTTTGTTTATGATATCTTTCTTCTGCAGATTAAAATATTACTGCATGTTAGCACTGTAGAGAAACTTTAGATAATGCTTGTATGTCTTCCGTTGCGTTTAATGGGCCACCAGCTCAGACGTCTAAATGTCTGTGTTACAATTTAAGCCTGAAGAATTTTGGTTTCCGTTTGCTGGGGCTGTGGCAAACCAAACCGCGTTTTCAGGTGCCTTTGATCACACCGGACTTAAGCAGCTCCAACACTACAAGTTTGTTAGAGGTGCTGCCTGTTCCATATTGGGCCATTTCTAATGGCCCATTTCCCAGGCCTTTGACTCTTGGGTTAAGTTCATTGTGCTCTAAGGCATTTGAGTCTTGTGGGCTGTTCAATTGACAAGACAGGAGAGTTTGGGTGGAAAAACTGTTGACAGTATATGTACTTAACTTTCCGTCCTTGCTGATGGACCTCCTGTCCTCCCTTTTACTCTTGCATCAGTCTACTAACTGTGCGTGTGTAGTTTCATAGAGTAAACGTTCTTGAATCTCACCTGCCAGGAGACTCAAATTGCTGAATTTTTTGAAGCAATTTAGGGTATTTTTACCTTTTGTAAGTTAAAGGAAGAAAGGAAAAATATTTTGACTATAGGTGTTGAAATGAAACATTTAGCGAGAGAAAAGAACAAGAGATACTAGCTTAAGTTACATTTGGGGGGGGGAAAAAAAAAAAAGCCCACCCAAAATCCACCTCAGATTTTGTCACTCCCCACGGGCATAGAAGCAGCAAAATTGCAAGGTCACATTTTGTAGCGTAAGAAAATCTTTACTTTTTCGTTCTTTGTTTTGTATTTTCAGAGAGTCCATTCTAAACGTGCAATTTCCGTGAGTGTTTTCTGACTTGTCATGTTGTCACTCTTGGGTTTAGCACGCCCTAAGCAAAAAAGAAGGATGGCTTTTTGGTCCTGATTTCAAAGCTGAGTCTCTGTAGGAGCATAGTAAACACACTGCTCCTCCAGTACAGAATTTAGCTTTAAAAAAAGTCAGGCAGAAATAGCCATTGGGGGATGTTGAAAAGCTACAAATGCTATTGCCAGAACAATGTTTTTGCTTTGGATACAAAACGTCAGCAGCTAGCAACCAGCAACGAAACATCTTGTGCAGTGAGTCTGTTCTTTGTAGATCTGATCCCACATTCCACGTCCGCTCTTTGAAATAAGTATTAATAAAAAGAGGGAGGGTGGGTCTCTGTCAGAGCCGAATTCCTGACGGTCTCTGTGCCGTACTCTATTTCAGTTCTTCAGCCGAGTGTCATCCGTAAAACTTCATGCGTGCCTCCGTATGGGTTTTGTTGAAGTTTGGGTAGTGTCCAAGCGCTTAGGCTCCAGGCTGCGTACAATTTTGAGCTGGAACGTACGGAGTTGTGCTGGCTTATCTACAGTAAAACCACACAGTCAAGCTATTTGTCAGCATTCATTAATCATGTTGTGTAGTTGGTATGTAGTAACTGTGTACCATGTGTGAGGGTGAGCTATAGGAAACTGGATCCATGCAATACAAGTTACCCTTATCTCTTAACACTCCACCTGCATCCACCAATCCAGCCTTCCTGAATTTTATTTTGAAGCTTAAGACTACAGTTTGGAGAACACGCTCCTTTCCACAAGTTGGCTCATGTGTGGATTTATACAGTAGCACTATGGTTAATATCCAGTTTTGTCCAGTAGTGGACTTTAAAGTCAGTGTTTCATATTGCACTCATTGCTAATAAGCCGGCAGCCTGGTTTTGTGGAGGAACAGTCCCAAATTGCTAGAATATTTCACGTGAGAGTGGGGGGTGTGTTCGATATCTCCAACTTTACTGCAGGTTTTCTGCCATTGTATGCATTCGTATCTTAAGTGCTTAACCTTTTAGAAGGCTTAAGTTTTAGACGTAACAGCCAAGCTTGTGTCTCATCTTCTGTATCCTTGTGGTGGCAGCAGAGATCTTAAATGAAAACAAATGACATTTTTAACACTTGCTTTAGTATAAGATGATAGCAACTTGCAGAGGCGTTTAAATTATGCCTTTTTTTAAAAGAAAGTCTAAGCTTTTCCTAGACACTCTCTGAAAGTTCTCCTCTGATAACGTGTTTTTTGATGCATAGAGAATTCTTTTTTTTTTTAAAAAGCCCTCTGAGTTCATTTTTCTAGTGTTTTATTGCACTCAATATCGTCTCATCCGTGATTGAATTCCTTGAGTTACTAAACGTTGAGCATTATCTTTTTTTTAACAATTCACTCCCTCTTATCTGTTAGTGCTTTCCATGGACCACTGTGAAATGCAGTCTGCAAACCAGTACTAGACACTGCAGCATATGCTAGCTCTGAATTACTGTAATGGATATTTTTTTTTAATCTGCTTATAAAGAAAGTTAGGTTTTAACCCTGGAAAAGGTTGATTGGTTAGTGTTTAAAAAGAATATGTGTACATACACACACAGACGTACATATATTTATATACTTACACACATACTTCCTTATCACAGTTGATGCAATTGTGAATGTTTTCTTTATCCACAGAAACACTCCTGAACCCTAAATTCTTAGAATAATCCCTGGTAACTGGTGGCTCCACAAACTATGGATTGTGTTTTTAAAAAAAAAAAAAAAAACTGATGAAATACTTTAAATGATCTTTCAGTGTGATCTTGCACTTCTTTACAGCTAGTTGTAAGTAAGCAGCAAGAGTTCCTTTATTTTTTTGTTTCCATTCCTCCTTTTTTCTTTTTTTTTTTTTTTTTTACTGCATCATCTTATTGCGTGCTACTTTGCTCTCTAAATCAGAGCAATCATAAAGCTGAGGACTGCTAACGTTATTTTAGGCATTTGTGCAGAGCGCCTGAATAGCTTGTTTTTCTCCTGCTGTTACATCTCATGGTCAAAACTGAAGTCCTCCAGATGGAGAGCAAATAGGTGGCTTTGATTCCATACTATTCCCAGATTTTTATTTCACTGAAGATACAGCATCAGAGAATCATACCAGCTTTTTAAATACCTTTAAGAAACAAAAATACTGCTTCTGCTCTGATGCCCTGTGGGGTTTTTTGCCTCAATAGTTCCAATTTAGAACTCAAAAGTGCTTCAGTAGCTCCCATTATTCCTCCACACGTGCTTCCATGTGCCTTGTTCACAATGAGTATCATCAGCCTGGATGAGATAGGTCTCCCTGCTATTCTCCAGCTTTCTCTCAAGTTTATTTTGACTTGGCTATAAAATTATCCTGGGTGATTTTTTTTTTTTTTTTTTTAATAAAGAAGTGGATCTATGTTTTGTGATTGCCTAACTGGTTCCTGAAGTCAAGCTGTTTCTTCTGCAATTATCATCTGTAACAAACTACAACTGGAAATTGGTTAGTGACTGATTAATGAACCATAAACGTAATGAAAGCATGTCTGTGCAGCTCTGGCCCTGGAGGGCGGAATGTAGGAACATTAAAAACTATTTAAAAAAAGCGTGGTGAATGTTCACAAGGAATATTTGGTCATGTTGGTAAGCCTGTTCTCATGGGGCCACAGTGGGTTTCAGATAATTGGAGTCACTCCTTTCTCTAGGACTTTATTTACTGGTTAGGTGTGCATGCATTTCAGTTCTTCCTTAAGATATTTTAAAGAGTT